GCTCACAGCAACCTCCAACTCCTGGGCTCAAGCGAGTCGCCTTCCTCAGCCTCCCAAGTAGCTGGGACCACAGGCGCCCACCACAATGCCCGGCTATTTTTTGGTTGCAGCCATTATTGTTGTTTGGCAGGTCTGGGCTGGATTCGAACCCGCCACCTTAGGTGTATGTGGCTGGTGCCTTAGCCACTTGAGCCACAGGCACCGAGCCACAAAAGCTGTTTCAAGAGGACAATGGGACTCCAGCACATCTAAAGGGTGGGGTAGCTGATGCCTTCCTGTATAGAGCAACCATGCTTCTTACAGCTGATAGAGCAGCATATGCTATGTATCAGGTGGTTTCTTCATTTCCCAAGAAGCAGTATTGATTTCACTCATCCCAGCAATCACTTGGTTCAATTTCATTCAGCTCTCTATGGACCAGTAATCTGATAAATAACTGAGCTCTTTTTTGGGCCCCAATGCTTATTAACTTGAACTAATTGCCATTAGTAAAGCAGTCTTTGTGTTCTGTAAAAGATTAGTCAGGCAAGATGTTCTAAGAAGTGTTTTTATGGGGTGGCGCCTATGGCTCATGGAGTAGGGAGGGTGCCAGCCCCATATATTGGAGGTGGCGAGTTCAAACCTGGCCCTGGCCAAAAAAAAAAAAGAAGTGTTTTTATGATTGTTTATTATTTGTCTTCCCAACTATGCTTCAGGAGAGCAAAGACCCTAGATCCTATTCTTAGCACCTGGAATAGTGCCCAGCATATATTCAATGAAATATTTCCTGGCTTATTTGTTTATAGAATCCAGGTATCCTCATTAATGCCTATTAATATCTTACTAGTAAATCATACTTGGAAAATTCTACCCTAAAATTTTCTCCTAAAAAAGAATAAATAAGTCCTAAACATACTTCAAGTTAAAACATTATTTTTCTTTTTTTTTTAGAGTCAGAATCTCATTTTGTTGCCCTCGGTAGAGTGCCATGGCATCACAGCTCACAGCAACCTCCAGCTCGTAGGTGATTCTCTTGCCTCAGCCTCCTGAGTAGCTGGGACTACAGGCGCCCAACACAACATCCAGCTATTTTTTTCTTGCAGTTTGGCCTGGGCCAGGTTTGAACCTGCCACCCTCGGTATATGGGGCCGGTGCCCTACTCACTGAGCCACAGGTGCTGCCCTAAAACATTCTTTTTCTTTTTTTTTGAGACAGAGCCTCAAGCTATTCCCCTGGATAGAGTGCTATGGCATCACAGATCACAGCAACCTCCAACTCCTGGGCTCAAGCGAGTCTACTGCCTCAGCTTCCCAAGTAGCTGGGACCACAGGCGCCTGCCACAACGCCCAGCTATTTTTTGGTTGCAGCCATCATTGTTTGGTGGCCCAGGCTGGATTCGAACCCACCACCTTAGGTGTATGTGGCTGGCGCCTTAGCCACTTAAGCCACAGGCGCTGAGCCTGTCTTTAATAATTCTCAATGTAGTTATTTCATAATCTTCCATAATCTATACTTAAGGAATAGGCTGGTTATAAAAT